TGACTGCCTTTGCCACATCTTCTCTTAGTATTAAAGCCACCCCATTTCTTCATGTATATTCATTCCCTGATTTTGTAGTTAGCTGAATCAAAGTGCCCATTCCTGTCCATTTTAATTCACTCAACCCCCCCTCCTCAGTACTGTTATGTTCATGAGTTCCATTTCCATTTTTACTATGTCTAGCTTCCCTTGGCTCATGAATCTCACATTCTATGTCCCTATTTTATGTGTAGTGCTGCTTCGGATAGCATTTGCTTTTCTGAGCATGTCTACTACTTGTCTCACCATTTTTATTTCTTCCTATCTCTCTGTTAGTGCTCTGATCCTTTCTGTGTCTCACTTGAGATATCTCATCATAGGGTTTTATAGGTGAGGAGGTTATGCAAAGAGAGCCACCTTAGCCTCCCTGTGCACAGTGCTAACAAGTGTTAGCTATGGTGTCACTGTTGTTCTCTCACTTTAGTGACACCCACCACTACTGCTGCTGCCCAGTAGCTGTTTGAAGTGTAATACTGCAGTTCATTTGTGTGTATGTAAACACCCCCAAATCAAGTCAGTTTGAGAAAAAGGAAAGACACCTCTTTGCTTTTGCCTCTAGTTCATAATCAGAATATTTTCTTGTTCATGTAGCGTACTCTACCCAAAAAAGCAACCTATTTTTCATAAATGTAGCAGATCAATGCATGTTTGTTCCTTCTTTTGCTTTCTTTACAAATGTAACAATATCCTATTGGAAGAAACCAGGGACTCTTCAGAATGGAAGAAAATTCAAGAATAAGTAGTACCCTGGGGTATTTCAGACAACCTTTAAAAGTCCAGTTCCCTTTGGAAAGAGGGGGGAAAGCCCTGGAGATTGCTGGTGTGTCTATAACAATCTAGTTTTTGAGATTTTTAAATAAATGTGTAGATTTAATGTTCTATTCAGGGAATATAGCTGCAAGTGAACAGACCATGCTTATCCCAAAGGTGCTGACTTGAGTCCCTAAGCCCACCCAGCTCACTCTGTGAAACAATTCAAAATATTTCTTCTAAAGCAATTCCATTGTCCAACTAAGAAGATTAGCACATTACGTTATAAACCATTTACCTGAACCAGCTTAAAATTAGAAGTGGGCGGCATCCTGATAGTATCAGATGCATTTAGCCACCAAAATTGCCGCCCAAATGCAGCTGGCTCCATCGCTGCTCAGAGGCTGCTCCGGTGGCATTTTTTCAAGCCAGAAAACTCCAAGCTTCGAAAAAAGGCACAAGGAGCGCCCCTTGGAGCAGTGATGGAGCTGGACTGCAGCTGGGCAGTGATTTTGGCAGCTAAATGCATCTGATACTGTCAGGATGCTGCTCGCTTCTAATTTTAAGCTGGCTCAGGTAAACCAGTTTAGAACATAATGCGATAATCTCCTATTTAAATCTTATACTTGAGCCAGTAATGACTGGTAGCTTCCATGTCAATGAGGGAAGTGAATCCACTCTGCATTTTAGCCAGACTTTTAAAGAAGCTATTCCAGCTGCTAAATTTCTGTGGTTTCTGTGATTGAATTTAGCAAAACTTGTAGCCTCTTTAAAACATGGAATGGATTCGCTCCCCATTGACCTGAAAGCCACCAGTCGCTGTTAGAACCTTGATCTGGGCAGAATGGGTTCTGTGTTTTAAAAGGAACAAATAATAGTAGGTTCTAAATGTAATTACTGTATATACTCCACTAGAAATGGACCTCATGTATAAATTGAGGGCATGTTTTGGGGCCAAAATTATGGATTTTGATAGGACTTATGGATAAGTTGAAGGTAAAACTTAGGGGCATGTAACAAGGAGTCTGAAGGATGAAGCAAAGGAAAACTGTGACAAAGAAATTACAAAATTCCAGCAGTCATAACTGTTTGTGCTCACACAAAGACTTGATGGATGAGAGAGCAGAGAGGGTTCAGTGCTTCCAGGGTAGATTATGCTCTTGTGTTTCCTCGGGATATGGTTCCTTTTTAATATAAGAGTTAACGTATAATACCTATATATTGTACAGATAAGCTGACTCAGGGTTTTTTGGGTCAATTTTTGACTAAAATTTCTAGACTTATAGATAAGTATATTCAGTATTACAGCTGTGTCCTTCAGTTTCTTCATGGGTGACACACATGTTATTATCCCATTTTTATCCTTGCAACAACTTTATGGGGCAATAAGCCAGGGAGTGAGAGGGGGTTGCAGACTGCCAGAAATAATGCAAATTGAGTCCACTTTTAGGGTTAGGGTTAGTGCTATGGAATCATGGGAACTGTTTTTTTCTGAGACATTGAGCCTTCTCTGTCAGAGAGCTCTGGTGACACAATAAAATACAGTTCCCATGATTCCCTAACCTTAACCCTAACCCTAAAAGTGAACTCAATTTGCACTATTTCTGACAGTCTGCAACCCCTAAGTTATCCAGGCTCGCCCAATGAATTTAATGGCTGACAAGTGGTTTGAACCAGTCCTTCCCAGGTCTAAGTCTAATATGTTTGACTGGAATGATTGTCAGCCTGCATCTTTTATGGGAGTGAGGTCTGTTTAATAGAAAGGAACTTACCAAATAAACATGCAAAGGAACATGCTGATGTATATTGGACAATCATTACTAAACAGGATGTAACATGAATGAAAGGTTATGATTATGCAAAGTAACACTGTGATTAATGGTATCGTACAACAAGAGTCATATTTTCTTTTTTAAGGTTCACTTGCAATGGATGTAGGCCCTACTCCCCCATTCATGAATGCTGGGGTTGTTTGAAAATGGTTAATCCACAGATTCACATATTTTTCTCACAACATAGTGAGAGTATCTGGAGATGATAAGTGACACAGAGGAAATACCAATACATGCTAGATAATGATATTAATAATACAGGAAAATAACATTTGAGTTCTGTTGAAAATAAATAATGCAAATTGTGTGTGATTACCATTTTCATATTGTGACTCAGGGAAACCAGCAACTTGCTCACCTATCTTCCTATGTGGCCTATAGCAAACTAATGGACATGTTCTAGTATGCACACCCAGTTCACAAGTGACCTAGCTAGCACAAAATGTGAACTGACTTTGTCTCCTGCAATATGTCCCAGAATCCTCCAGAAAAAAATGTTGACATGAAAAATGTTCAGTTTTTATCAAGATGATTATTTAAAACATATTTTCTGCTTTTATTTTAGAAGCTAAATGTTGAAAATATTTCTCCCGCCTCAAAGGCCTGCTTTGAGGTGCTAGAAAGGGAGGCTGCAACAGAGGCAATATGCAGTAACATGATCTGATTTTTCAACTGAATTCCATATTCTCTAGGTAAAAGTTTTGATTTATCCTGAGAGTTTCCTCACACTGGTGCAGTTCACACTTAATACTAAGCCAAGATTTGTTATGCCTAATTGTGGTTTGTTTAACTGTCTGAAGCCACACCAGGGAGGTAACAATGGCTAACCTTTTTTATCACAACAAATCCCAATTTACAAACTACGGTATATAATCTTTGCCAAGCATCCTGACAGACAGCTTTAAAAATCTAGCAGAACATTAAATCCATGTATGCAATGGCCTCCTGCAACTTGTTGAAAAGGTGAGTTGCTGTTTCCAGAAGCAGCAATTCACTTTTTTACTGGAAAAAAGATGGAAGTGGGCAACAGATCTGAGAGTTGCAAAACCATCCTTGGTGTAATTCATGTGGCCCTTAGACTGCACATTGCCCCCTCCTGACTTAGGGTCTCTTAAAATGAATTAATGGCTCTGTAACACTCATGCACATGATGTTACTTACAATCAAACATGAAAAAGCAAGCAAACTCCTCTTTCTGCTTCAGTTTGTGAATAAAAATGGTAGGAAGAGAGTAGAAGATGAATAGAAAGCTCATTGACAATATATTTACTTACTACTGAGATTTTTAAAACTTACCTTTGGGTACCTGGTTCAAGACCCATCATCATCTGCATCCCTTTAGGATCTTCTGTATGGACACTATATAAATGTCTTATATTTTAAGGGCAACTATCAGGTGGCAGTTCTGAAGTAACAAATGTGAAACATTTATGTAATATTAAAGATGTCATTTAGATAAATATGCCATAAATTCATTTGTTAGTCCCCACTAGAGTAGACACATGAAATAAATGGGACTTAAGGAGCCCTGGTGGTGCAGTGGTTAAATGCTTATACTGCAGCCACAACATTGTAAGTTCAATCCTAGAAGAAGGGTTCCAAGGTCCACTCAGCCTTCTACCCTTTTGTAGGTCAGTAAAATGTGTACCTTGCTTGTTGGAGGCAAATGGCTTACACACTGTAAACGGCTTAGAGCAGTGATGGCGAACATTTTAGAGACCAAATGTCCAAACTGCAACCCAAAACCCATTGATTTATTACAAAGTGCCACATCCCTCTGGCTTTCTAGTAATAAACTCTGGTGAACTCTGTGCTGGGGCAATGGTGAGTGTGCCTACAGAAAGGGCTCTGAGTGGCCCTCTGGCACCCATGCCATAGGTTCGCCACACTGGCTTAGGGAGTGCTAGTTCACTGATAAGTGGTATAGAAATGTACTTGCTATTGCTATTTATTAGTTTCCCATTGACTCAGTGGGTGTTCTTAAATTGGATTGGGGCCTAAGAACTGCCATGTTTGTATGAGTGATTTACTTCTTATAGCGCCTTTTAAATCTGTTGCAAGTTCTTCCAGTGACACCACCAGACAGTCTTATTAGTAAGTGACAATACCTTCTATTAATTTTTATGCATGATGGCAAGATGTCACCACTGAGTAACAATATGCCTTACAGGGACATGAATGCTCAAGGATTTGTTGTTGATAATGTTGTTGTTGTTGTTGTTGTTGTTGTGTGCCTTCAAGTCATTTCTGACTTACATTAACCCTAAAGCAAACCTATCGTGGGGTTTTCTTGACAAGTTTCTTCAGAAGAGATTTGCCATTGGCATCCTCTCAGGTTGAGAGAGTATGACTTGCCCAAGATCACCCAGTTGGTTTATATGGCTGAACCAGGGTTTGAACCCTAGTCTCCAGAGTCAGAGTCTAATGCTCAAACCACTACACCACACTGACTCTGCTCAAATATTATTAATTTGCCTTTTTGCAGTTAATGCATTTCAGCTGAAACAATGGGTGCATCTGAGAAATCTAAATACAGATTCCCCATGGATTAAATTAGAAAATAATGGAAAGTAAAAACAGGATAAAAATTCATAATAAGATTTTAAATTGTTGAATATCCTTTCTTAGCAATGAGTCAACAGAAATGGAAGAAATGGGACAAAAAATGGTTCTGACTTTCTCCACTGGATCTGGGGCTGAATCATCTCTGTCCTTTGACAAAGGTAAACTGATTCAGTACTTATATTAGCATAGGAATGAAATTTAAACAGTCAGGGATCTGTATTCAGATCTAAAACTTTGGTTGGCTTTCTAATCAGATTTTTCATTTTGTCCCACACCTCTTAGTAAGAGGTCAAACTCTGTGCCCTTTTTCACAATTTGAAAACATTTCAGTTCAGGCAAGTGGTAGCATGAAAAGTATGTATTCCAAAATGCATAGGCTGATAATAGATGCCTGACAGGGGAATAACATAAAGCTTGCATCAAAAGACCTAACTTCACTCAGTGGCATTACTAGGGTTGGGATCATCAGGTGTGCTTATGGTGTCAACCTCCCTTACCACACCATACAGAATACTTAGTCATGTTTCTTGTTCCAATGTTTTTCATAAATTGTAATTCCTATATATCACTGAATATAATATATTCATTAAAAAGTCACAAAATTAAAATTATACCCTTAAATTCCACATCACACATACAGCCTAAATATATTTATATGTACAGTGGGCCCTTGGTATCCACTGACTTTTAGTTCCAGGAAACCCCCACCCTTTGTGGAGATCAAAATCTGTGGATGCTCAAGTCCTATTAAATACAATGGCATAGTGAAATTGTGTCATTTACATAAAATGGGGAAAACGCAAGGTTTGCTTTTGTAATTGATATTATTTTTCAGTATTTTCAAGCCATGGATGGTTGAATAAATGGATTAAAAAATATATGGATACAGAGGGCTGCCTGCACATTGTTTCATGTGGTTAAAGTGAAAATTTGGTAAGAGGAGATGTTTTTAAAGAAAATTTAAAATATCTTTAAAACTAGGGGCCTCTCCTTTCTCCTCCTAGTGAGCCTTGCCCCTCACCCCATCTCTTCAGTGTTTCAAAGGGAGGGAGGCAAACACCATAGCCCACTTCTGCCCCAAAATCAGATATTTGGGAAGCAGTCGTGTCACCCTAACTTAGAGTATCACCTGGTGTAGCGCAAACCCCCACCCTACCCCTTTGGTGACACCCCTCACTTCACTGGAACAGCAGTCAAAAGTCTGGCAATAATTACCATTAAAATCCATCTTGTAAAAGGAAATGGCTTTAAAATATTACATAGATCATATCTGAAACTGTTGAAAATCAGTTGCATATGTTCTAATTTTAGTACCAAATAATTAGAGAGTGTGCACTGAGTGAGGCACTTTTAAATATATGAATTATTACATATGCTTTATTTTGTCTACAGACCATTTACAAGTGGAGAGAATCAACTCAGTGATATCTGATCATGGGAACAATAAACCACTTAAAATATCAGCTGACAGTGGCAGTAAAAGACAAATGTATAAAGCTAGCCATTTCCTAACATCTTTGACATTGTTTTCAATAGTGCATAGCACCTTCTGGGTAATTTTGGCATTGTGTCCTTTCATACATGTTGAAATTAGCAGTTTATCAAAATAATCTGGAAGGAATGTTAACATCTGATAGATCCATTTTCCCCCACACTCCTGATAAAATGTATAATATGGTAATCTGCTTGTATAAATATTTCCTCTGTGCCAACGAGTGTGTTTCAGTAGCCACAGTACCACAGGGACAGAGTCTAGAGGAAATGGGAATTCCTTCATATCATCCTTCCACTAAGTGAGAAAAATCTATTAGTGTAAAAGCTACAATAATAGTATGAAATGGTTAAAGCCTGAAAATGACTAGTGCAGGGGTAGGCAACCTTTCCCCTTTAAGGGCCGAGGGACTTCAGTTCCCAGAAGCCTCAGCCATGTTGGCCAATAGTCCCATGTTGGCTAATAGCTCTTGGGATTCTGGGAGCTGAAGTCCCTCGGCCCTTAAAGGGGAAAGGTTGCCTACCCCTGGACTAGTGGTTTGCACGACATTAGGCAATGGTAGCTGTTGTGCCAAAGGTGAACAGGCATCGCTTGCTTGTGCCAAATGATTTTGTCTGTACGTGTTTGGATTCTAGCAACTAGACCTCCATATCCATGGAACAGTCAGACCTCTATATCCATGGATTCTTAATCCATGAATTCAACCATCCACTTCTTGAAAATAATAAAAAAAATTAATTCCAAAAAGGAAACCTTTGATTTTCGCCATTTTATATAAAAAGCACCATTTTACTATGCCATTGTATGTAATGGGACTTGAACATCCATGGATTTTGGTATCCCTGGGGGTGGGGTAGGGGTGCTGAAACCAAACCCCAGCAGATATCAAGGGCCCACTGTAGTTTATTCTACAAATTCTCCATTGGGGAGAGAATTTGTACTACGGTTTTAGGTCCAACTCATTCAAGAGAATGAACCATATCACAAGTGGAACACAACCAGTAGAGACTTGTCTTGCTGATGGGTGATGGTATGTTTGTGAAAAAGCAGGTGCTAAGTAATTTATAGATTATCTTTAGACACATATGATATGATTGTGTCATAAAATCAGGTGGTGGGAGATTTAAAGTCCTTAAGAAATATTAGGGTTAAAAATATGCAAGCAGCTCCTGCTGATGGTAGATCACATGGAAATCATAGCTCTCTGGAGGGATATTGATATTAATTATGCCTTTTACATCACATTCAAGCCTCAAAATGCTAATCAAAATAATGTATTCATACTATACAGTTATACCACTTTGCTGGCAATTTAACTACCATAGATCCATCCTATCCTATTTATCCTTGAGAGATGTAGTTTGGTGTGATATCTAGAATACAGTACCAGAGAAAGATAATACTGTAGTTCAGGAACTTTACTACAGAATTCTAAGTATTTCACCAAACTACAATTCCCAGGTTTCCATAAGACAAAGCCCCATTAGTTAAAGTGTTATGGAACAGCTTTAATTGTATAGTATATGTCAGTTCAACCAGCTGCATGTACAGACTAATGGAAGAACACATTGGAAAGGATCACTTAGTTTTTAAAGCAACTTAAGAAAGATTTCTTTTGATTGCCATATTCTATTATTATTTCTAGGTTTTTCTCTTTTTTTCCTTTTTTGGTAGTAATGTGTTTTTCTGTATATGTGTAATGTGTTGTTGTACCTGTTGTGAAAAGGTTTAATAAAATCTGGGCTAAAAAATAAACTATAATTTGAAGTTAGTTTTTGAGTACTGGCTTGTTTTTACTGCACTTTGTTGCTATGTCTGAAGCCAGAATCCTGGTTTATTTTTGGTTTGATTCTGTGGCTTGCCTAGCTGCCTTACTAATCCAGGCACAAAGGAAGAGCAGCAAAAAAACAACCATTCCCTGGGCTGAATTACTTTCTTGTGTTTGTCTCCAAAACTATTCATCCCTCCTCATTCTCCCAATTCTCTTATACCCAACTCAGCACAAATGGCAGATGTGGGGTGAATAACTCAGTCAAACATCTGCCAAATTGTCATGCAGATCATTTTCCGGTCAGGGTTGGCATCACAGGTACAACCTGCCCTTGCAGGGATGGAGGACTTATTAAAATGGTCCACACTTAAAGGCTAATGGATCCCTTGAGATTCCAGGACACCTTAGAGGGTTAAGCAGCTGGCATCACCGATGACCCTATTGAAGTTCTGGTTGATAAATGAAATCAAAATCTAACCAGGGTTATTGAAATGATTGTCCCCAAACGTCCTCTCCAACCCATTTGTAAACAAGCTCCTTGGTATACAGAAACCCTCAGGGAACTGAAACGGGAAGGATGACAAGTAGAGCGCAGATGGCAGAAAACTTAACTTCTGTGTAACAAGACACAATATAAAAAACAACTTTGTTCCTATAAAGTGGCAATACATGTAGCAAAGAAAGCTTTCTTTTCTGCATGTATTGCACCTGCAAATTCACACCCAGCTGAGCTGTTCGTGGTGATGAGAGATCTAACTAAGGCACCCTCCCCTCTGAACCTGATTTTAAAACCTTCAGTAGGTTGCTATGATACTTTTAATAACCATTTTGCAGATAATATCCCTCACATAAGAACCGACTTAAATGCCATAATTGGAGCAGAAGTCAATATATGGTATCCAGTGGCTCTGCAAGTGGGATTACGCTGGATCAATTTCAATTGTTGAGTACTGTTGACATGGACAAGCTGCTGGGGCAAGTAAGGAAGACAACTTGCTTTCTTGATCTTTGTCCCTCTTTACTGGCCACCCAGGGAGGAGATGCATATTAGGATTCAAATACAAAATACAAATGGGAGGGGAATTTTACATCCTTTTTAAAAGAGGCAGGGGTTAGACCACTTCCGAAAAAGCCCTCCCTAGATCTTCTGAACCTTGATAATTATAGACCAGTATCAAATCTTCCTTTTTTGGACAAAGTGATCAAGAAGGCAGCTGCCTTCCAACTCCAGGCAGTCTTGGATGATACACACTTCCTCAACCCATTTCAAACCAGCTTCAAAACAGGATATCTTGAGACTGGTATAGTTGCCTTAGTGGACGATCTTTGCCTGAGCATTGATGGGGGGGGGGATATCTCTGTTAGTACTTTTGGAACTCTCAGTGGCATTCAAAACCATCAACCAAGGTATCCTGGCACGCCTGAGGGGGTTGGAAATTAGAAGCACTGTGCTTCAGTGGTTCTGGTCCTATCTCTCAGGCACATTCCAGATAGTGGTGCTTGGGGATAGCTGTTCCTCAAAAAAAGAGCTGTTATATGGTGTACCACAAGGTGCAATTCTATCCTCAGCGCTATTCAACATCTACATGAAACTGCTGGGAGAGATCATCCCAAAGCATGGGG